TTTTTGCGAAGGCAGATTTGGTTGCTCACGGGGTAAATTGACTAAATGTCGCGGGAAACTCATCCCCGAATTTTCCCGCTGTAGATTCAGCGGCGAGTGTAAACGATAAAGCCCTAACTTCCCCAACATCTCCGGGCGAATTTTCAAGTGTTGCGCGTGAGATGGAAGGCATGGTACGTGACCACGTCCCCCACAATTTATTTTCCGCCCGGTGCGAAAGTTCTTGGAGTCCAAACGGCATTAGCCCCAACTCCACACAATAAGTTTCTTGAAATTTTGAACGTTGCGATTCTCGGTATTGACCTGTATTTTACTGGGAGATACCATGAAACGACTGAGAGCCAGAAGACGAGGGTCTAACCTTAGCACCAGACCGTCCTTTTTGCGTAAAGGAGATTTTGATCTTCGCAGTGAGTGACTACTTGGAAATATTAAGCCCTGCCTACAAGCAAGGCAGGATGTACTGAGTTCGCAGCTCAAAAATGCGTGAAGAAAGCGCCATCCGCTCGCGTCGGAACCACTGCTCCATCTACTGGCTACGACGCCTAACTTTCAGTAACTGCTATCTCATGATGCACTTTTCCGCGACTAACTCTCTCCACTCCAACTGGCGAGGGTGAGGAAGGAGAAAAAGCTGGTACCAACAAGTGAAAACTCGTCCAGCCACGCCCTCACTTCGCCTTACAGTGCAGTTCAACATAGGGTTCCACATGGCCTACGGACATCTAAAACTAAATCCCTTTAATGACGCCAACTTCCTGTTTTTCTCTGCGCCCTCACGTCTTCAAGGCGTTCTGTGACCGCTCTGACCATTTATTTTCCAATTTTTCACGCATAGTAAGCAGCTCATCACCCCGGTGTCCTCTGTCCTTGGAGAAAATCATCTCCTGGCTCGCGATATGTTTTTGTACCTCTCAATGCCTTGGCGGCCGCAGTTCTTTGTTTCTCTGTGCTCTGGCTTTTCGCAGCAGGACCTCCTTCAAAAGTTGTTAGTTGTCACGTAACCGTTCCACATGAGACAGACGGAGGACGGTAGGGTTTTTACCTAGCGCTTATCTCTCAGCAGTCAATGGTTTGCTAACTGTGCTTAGTGGTTAAGGTGCGCGAATCACTATTTTTGAGTGTTGGGCGTGCCACTGAGCAACAGTTTAATCAGTACTAATCAAGTCCTGGAGGCTCTTTCTTCTAACCAGGATTTTCTTTGCTCCCAGAAAATTCGCCAACTCTCCTGAAAGCTTACTCGAGGCGCTAACGTTATTTGGAGGGGGGGGCACCTGCGCTGCTCGGCCAGTGATGACTCATCGACTCTTCTTTTCATGTTTAGGACATAGATATAAGATTGTCCTAGCTATATTCAAAAGATAAAACAGTTAACTCTGAAGAATGCGAAAAAACAGTTGTGGACAGGAAAATTTTGCCTAAACTTGTTGCTTTTTTGTTGTAGACCGCTGTTCTTGACTACAAAAGATCATACAATGTTGTTTTCAGTTTCTGTGGGATTTCTCAGCAAGTTTCCGGTGAATCTTGTTTGTTTTATTCTAATTTTGCTGCTAGATTAGTATGTCGACGCGGCCATCGACCAATGAGTCATCACTGGCCGAGAGCCGAGTGGGCCCCCCCCCAAATACGTTAGCACCGCTATCGATACGTCAAAAGACACTTCTAGAAATTCTGGCCCATTTTGCAACAAGACGCGAAGTGGCGTACTCCAGTTCAACGGCAGAAAGCGTGGCGCCCCAATGCAACTTCTGAGCTTCACGGGAACTTTAAGATTTCAAGCTTCCAATTAGACATCACCTGGTTTTTTTTTGGTGAAAAGGGTTGTGTCGAGGACTCCCTCTGAGAGAACTGTCGTATCTTTATGAAACGCGACGGCATGCTTTCCACAATGATTTCCTGGGGTTGTAAAAAATTTGAGACATGCTGGGAGTTGTTACTCGCCGCTAAACCTACAACAGGAAAAATTCGGGGACGAGTTTTCCGCGGCCTTCGGAGCGGCTTTTTGGACTGGAGCGCACTATCCGTTCAACGTCGTTTTCATGCTACAGCCATTCAACGAATTTTGTTTATTGTCACAGAACAAGTGGTACCTCTCATTAATTGTTTACCTGCCCACTGTTCGAGGGGTTCCGTTAGCTCAGCTCGCTGTCTATAGTCACCGATGCTGTCATGGTTTCAGGGAAGTGAAGTCACTGATGAATTGTCCACCTGGTCACAGTTCGAGGATTTCGCTAGGTCAGATCCATTATGACGCAGGTAAGAAGCCCTTCCACTGTGTGGACGTATTCACGGAACTATTCAGTTCGAAAGCAGTGGCACGATGGAAACACAAATTCCAGCGAGCACGAGACGACACCGTCGGAACGGCTGCCTTATCTGCCAGTTGAAGTTTGTCAATCAAGAGAATCTCGTGAATCATTGTCGACTTTATCATGGCGATGAGCGTTGCGTTGTTGAGAAACGCTCATTCGACAACGACATTGAATTCGAGGTATAAAGCATTCGAACATATGCCTGATCTTCGATTTCAGTTTCGGTTGGATCGCTTGCCAAGGAGAGATGGTAAGTCGAGATGGCCGTATAAAAGACGAACTGTACCCCCGCCCTTTCCGTGGATCCTGATCTCTGCCGTGTTTGGGGAGAGAAGGTACAGTAGCGCGCCACTTCCTCCGATTAGAGGTTCACGGGACTAAAAGCTGGAAAGTAGTGAGGGCGGATTCCGCCTCACTTCATCCACGCTGCCGCACGGCCTACGAGACACCCACCATAGTCGAACGCGCTGCTTGTCTATGCTGTCTCACTTCTGATTGTTCCCTACCGCTGAGTACGTGTTTCGCTGCGGGACAGCAGTATTGGTGCAAGTGTAGACGGCACTCGGGTATCAGCACCCCCTCCCCACCCCCCGGTCTCGCGCACTTTTGAGCAGATAAAGTGGCACGCTACTGTGACTGGGGTCCCTTGGAGGAGAAAGCACAGTTTACTTTTCAAATCAGATGCACATTGATTTATGTGTTCCCCGGATGGTTGTCAAGGATTCGCGCATTCTCTGATTCCGGGGATTCCCGGCTCTGTACTTCTTACTTGCGTTCGCCTCTAAATTCGCGCCTTCTTCTCTGTGCTTGTTTTCCGCATATGTAAAATGTGAACGTATTTTCACCTCTAGGACTGGAAAGAAGCGACCGAGAAGAAATTCGTTACATTCTGGCAATTTTCCAGACGGGTGAATGCTGTTGCCTATTACAAATGTAACAGGTATGACCAGCTAAATACTTCAATGGGCCTTGTTTCAGTGTTAATGCCCGAGAATTCCAGAAAATTTCGCTCCCTAAACTGCCTAAACTTCCTAAGCAGAGAGACACTCCCTAAACTCTGCCTCTAGGTGTCCTGATCACGAACTTAACACTCATTTCTGGCGCTGGTGCCATTTGGAGCCATCATCTCTCTCACCGAAGGCGGCGAAAACTTGTATACGGAGGTTATTTGGCGTCCTGGTCCCAAGTATGACATGGCTTTCTGTCGCTGGCGTCATTTTATGCTACTCAGAAGGCCTAGATTGGGGCCAGTGCCAATAATGAATGTCATATTGATGGTCAGGATGTCAAATATTACCTCTACACACCGCTCTCATCGATTCTGATGAAATAACTGATAGGTATTAGCCCAGATTAGCGCCCAGTTGGCGCTAGATGACATCAGCGCCTAGAGTGAATGTCAGTTTCATGACCACGGCAAACAAAACTCTGTAAGCAAAGTTTCGGCAAAAAATTTTTTTTCGAGATTGTGGAGTAGTAGGGTAATGGTATCGTACTCCCTAATGTTATACATTCCTTCGTTGGGTGTATAACGGCACAACAACATTCAGAATAGACGCACTTCGCCACCGTGGCAAGTACAAAGTCGTTGCTCAGGACATAGCTGTTATCCCCTCTTGCACATCATTCATGCAGGTAACGTACTCGTGTTCTATCTTGAACTATTGCTTTTTTATTTCATGAATTCCAGAAATGCATCATGAAAAATGGTGGCATTCTTGTGAAGTTTTGCACGACTCATATATGCGACGAACTGAGTGCAGCTGACCTGCCACTAACTAAATCTGACAAGGCTATAATCATGCAGTATCTGAAGAAGGAAATCCCCATGTATGCTATTTGGAAACAAATACGGGAAAAGTACTCAGACCCTACTGTCAGGCTTCATTGGATTTCTCCCGGTGATATTCGAACGGTCATGGCGACCTATAGCTCACAAAGGCACAAGATCGAGGAACCGGGCGTTTCATCCCTCAAATCCAGGTTGGTTTCATAACTTCTCCTAATGACATTTAGCTTGATTTTTCTTGTGCTTCAGTAATTTGAACATTTCTGTGTTCCAACAATTGTAGCAGCATATTGTTTAAAAGCAGTTCCTATCGCTGCGGATGAAGGGACGTGTCATCGCGCAACGCCAACCCCGTTTTCCACCAGTTCTTAAAGCAAAAACTGTTTTATACCGTCCCTATCAGTCGTTTTTCACCAACTGTTGTCTCTTAACTGCTTCAACAACTGGTACTGAACGATCCTGAATTACAGATCCTTCATTCCGCAATGAACCGGGCTGTACACGCACTCCCTCGATGTCCAACTGCAGCGAGCGCACACAATCAGAGTGGGTGCTGCTAAAATTTACATTGCTCCTATAGGGCACGTTGCGGCGAGGTGGCCCGCGGTTAATCGTATTTCGTTCCGCGTCGCAACCTGGAACTCCTGCGCTATGTGAGTACTTTAGCACGTTGAATCGACCGTAACCCTTGTGGTAACACTTGCAACGGTTCTTTTGCCTCATCACCATCGCATCGCTACTTAGAACTAGAATTACTGCAGTACATGCTGGTTTGTTGATCACGTACTCCCTCCCTTTAGGGCAAGTAGTGAGTTCTAGTCGCGCATTAGTGGTTTTGAAGAAGGAGTGATTGCATTTTCACAACTCAGTGTCGTCCCTGAGCTAGGATAGATGCAAACGCGCCTCTGCTAAATTATTATGGAATACTGTTACAGCTCTACTTCTGTGCAACGAGTGAAAACCGAGCCAGATTTCGATGTCTCACCGATTTTCGCTGCATCTTTACTGGAAGAGTCATCGATGTCTGTTGACTGTGGAGTTGAAGATGATAATGGAGGTGGTGTTAGCGAACGTAAGAACGGACTCCTATCAGTGGAGACTCCCACAAACTCCGAGACACAGCCTAGCTGTTCATCTTGCGTGAAATTGAGTGAGACGGTGAGTTCGCAAAGAAGGCGGTTCATGAGGAAATCCGGTGATTTGGGAGACCGCGCGACGAGTAAAGTGTAGGTATCATCGGCACTTTGGGAGATCGAGCGATCTGGCGATTTGAGAGACTCGGCGATCTTAGGTTCCGAATCACCAGGCCGAAGAATCTTCACAATAGCTAGCGACCGGCGGCGGGTCGATATCTATACTGAGACTTCTATCAAGCGATCTCCTGAATCGCCGAACCTTTTATGTCGCAAAGTATGAACGCGTCTTGAAATCTTGGGCGCTAATCACCTTGGAGGGGCACGGCTGTTTCATTTTATAACCGACGTATATCGCTTACATTGTAGCGCACCTATGCGTGCAACATAATAAATTAGACAGCAGCAATATACATGAGTAAAAATTGTCGTCATGAAGACAAGGATACTGCCGAAGCCCAAAAGTAAGGAGTTCTTGGGTGGCTGGCCCCATTTCGCGTATGGATGATACTATTCGCATGACGTCTAAAGGGAACTAACGTTGTCTGAGTAGAATCATGGTGCTTGATATGGGATCAGGGACCCCTGAACTCTTTCTCATTCCAAGGCTTTCGAAAAAACCTTATCTTCATTATGGTAATCCTGCCAGAATCCTCTGATTGCCCCTCCAAAGCCAGGCCGAATTTCGTTTTCAGTCTATATTTCTTTTCATCTTGGAAAACCAGTTGTGTTCAGGTGGCTCGCCTTGAATCTACTGCGGAGAGGCTCACTAAAAGAATAATGGAGTTGGAAGAATGGATGCTGCACAAGAAAAGCATCAAGGAGGAAACGGAGTGACTACACTGCTCTGAAGAATTCTTTTCTCAAAATTTGGAGATTTGGAATTAATCTATTTTTTTTCTTCTGTATTATATAGGATTCGGTGTATATTGTCTGAAAATATCCTCACATATTGTAACAAAATGAGGTGCATGTGTGCCATAAGACCGTTACCAGTTAGGGGTTCGATGATGGCGTGCTATCTCGCACGTTAATAAGGTGATGTGCCATATAGCACGTCAATGACGAGGAAACTAGTATTGCACCATTGTCAACAGCGTCTCAAACACTGATCGTTAATGCAGTGACGTCAACGACACGTCATTTGTCTCCCAACTGGCATGACATTGGACCGCCCACATTGTGCTGCAACCTTCAAACTGGTTTAACAGCCAGTGAGATTGCTGCCGTTGCGTTGCGCTATGTTTTGATGCTTGGTAATTCTTTCGAATGCTTGTTGATGTTTACTTACAACTGCGTTTATTGAAATTTGGAGTTGTTTTTTTTCAAGTTGTTGGTTGTTGAAGTCATCTCCTGAATTCTTTGTCTCTGTCTAAACGGGTTGTTCAATACATGTTTCCAGTATTTGTATTGTAACTATTGCATTTTGGCGGTGCATATATACTTCATCTTCATATGATGCAATGGGCGTATCCATGCACTTAGTTTGGACGTTGCAGCAACGTCTGTGCTTTTGTGGATTATTTTCATTCTGGGACCGTTGTAATTTGTCTTTGTCCAACACAGGTCGAAATGGCAGTTTTTCAGAATGAAATCTTCACGATTAAAACATCCAGCGCCGTGTTGGCACGAAGTGCGCGGCCACGCCCACACGAAGTGCGCGGCCACGCCCATTGAGTCTCAGGGATACGGGACGTCACTGCGCCGCCAGAAAACTAAAACCCGCAAAAATGGTCAAATACTTACCAGTTATTTGTGTTATTAAATCTCTGACTTTCCGAACTACAATTCAGGCGTATCCTTCTGTTTTTGCGGGTTAATTTTCCAGGACTGTAGTATGTGCACAGTTTTATTGTTTTGTCATCTCTTATTGTCTATGAATGAGTAAAAAGGGTATTTCTACAATGATTTTTGAAAAAGAAGCTCGTTGTTAATAAGAATCTGGCATTTGCCGACGCATTCCTCCTACCAAGACATATCCTTATTTATCTGAAACTTTCTTTTTACTGAGTGTTCCCTTCGGAGTTTTCTTTTTCTTCTTTTCTATCAGACGCATTCCTCCTACCAAGACATATCCTTATTTATCTGAAACTTTCTTTTTACTGGAGTGTTCCCTTCGGAGTTTTCTTTTTCTTCTTTTCTATCAGAGGTGACTGTCTTCTTTGCGGCACTATCTCTCAGCAGCTCTGTTCGTCTACGCTCTGAGCCTGAGCTTTTTGCGGAAAAGATTCAAGGGCGCGGCTGTGTGCCCCCTTCCCCCGAGATACCTTAGCGCCAGGATTTTTACGAATGGCAAGTGAGGAGGTGTTACAGAACAATTGTGGTTTATTTTACCTTAGTTTGTAGAAGATCTGTAGTTTGCTTTCTTCCGTCTAATGTTGCAAGAATTACTGTATTGTAATCTACTTTTCTTTGAAGAGCTGCTGAAAAGCGAATTCTATTTCAACGATTTCCAGAAAATGAAGCGGAAGGAGGCATTTGAGCGGTTGTCGTGATTTTGGAAGACCTGCCCTAAAAGCAACTACATATTGTCCCATAACCCGAAAAATTTGGCCCCAAAAAGCCTTGTCAAGTCCACTAACTGGCAATTTAGGTTTGCGCATAATGCATTGCCTCCAATATGCCTGAACTAAACCTACTAATCTACGGTCCCTGTTAGAGGAGAGTTGCGAGGTGGCGCAGAAAACGCCCTGTCGTGGAGGAAAACTTCAGAAATACGATTCCTTGAAATTCCCTCCTCTGGCACGACCTTCTCCTCCCTCCTTCCCCACTCCCCTACTACCACTTTTCCGTTTCTTCCTACCTTAAAAAAAAACTGCCATCGAGCTGAAGGGGAGGAAAGGCATGGTAACGCACTCGAAACAGTGAGAAAAAACTGAGAGTGATCCGACCGAAAACATTTTTTCAAAGGTAAAACGACCCCTTCCCCCCCCTTCAGCATCCATTACGTCCCCTCCGCCATCCCCCCCCCTCTTCACTGGTGATCCTCAACGTAGGGCCTGCCCTGAGATGGCGTGATATCCGACATTAATAGGGCAACGCGTCACTTGGCAGGTTGACGGCGTGGAAACCTGAATAGCGGCACTGGCAATGACGTCTCACAACACGTCATTGACGTGCCCTGTGACGTCAATGGCCCGTCGCCTGTCTCATTTTTCCTCAGCGCTAGACATGCTCGGAGGCTAGTTTTGCTCCTCTTGTTCAATAGCATCAATTCTACCTCATGAAAGGCCTAGTCGGGATAAGTACTGACTATCCTCAAATGCGAATGCGTTGTGTCAACCAGCGTGGTTTAGGGAGGCTGAGGACATTTGACTCTCTTAACAGGTAACCTACTGAACTGCATACCTGTGCTACATGAGTGGAAGTTTGTACCCTCCCCCCCCCCTTTCCCGAACCGAACTTTGACACTGCTGGCATGCTTTTACTGCAGCAGCTGACCTCTTACTTCTTTTACTGTGAATAAAACATAAACTCCAAAACACCGAGAGAATTCATGCCTGACGAATCCTCATTTCCGCTGGTATGCAGAAGTCGATACTACTTTTATTCCTTTTGCTTCTTTCGCGATTATTTCGCCTTTGAAACCTTAACAGCGAACCCCTTTCGTCGTAATCAATACACTCGACATGTGTGAGGTTGCAGAACGCGCATTCTACTCGACATTTGGCAAAGCGTCAACGTTAAGGAGCGCCAGCTTTTTCCTTTTGAATCACGGAGGCTACGGAACATGGTGCAGAAGACTTCTTCCAAAGCGAAGGTAAGGCTCATTTTAGTTTACACGCTTCCTTTTCTTTGTTATGTTTGCTTATTTATACTTATTATGTTCGTGAATGTGGACAGTCTGCAATCAATTGAAGGTCATAGAGCCAACTAAAGAATATTATCGCAAAGTAGTTGAAATTGTCCGTTTGTTCCCAATGTTTTTTTAAGTTAGAATTTGGTACTCCCACGTTTGGATGCTTTAGTACTATGCCACGGCAAGCGTCCAAACGCAATCGGTACATTGTATGTCATATAATATAATGACGTATTTAATCTTTCCATCGAATACCCGGCTCAAGTGACGATCCCGGGACTATTACTGTAAGTAATGTCATACTACATTACTTCTGAGACACAACATCGTTGTGTAAAG